AAATGAACCAGACCTAAGATATGACTAAAAGCAAGTATAATGGGTGAAATCTGAATGGCAGGAAACTATGCAGGCTTGGAGGTTTAGGATGGAGTAACTATTGCCCAGCATTGTGCTCTAGGTTAATTAAATAAATCCTAGTCTCTGTGTGGTGATTTGGGTATACAGCTGGTTTAGGACTAGCTGCTGCTTAATAAAAGATATATCAATAGTAAATATTAATACTCACAACATTTATTACAATTTATTCACTTTGTATCCTGGCTGTAGCCACCTCCTCATCTCCTCCCAGTCCCACCCTTCCCCTTCTCCCCCTATGCCCCACCCCTAGTCCACTGATGGGGGGGGGGGGTCCTCCTCCACTTCCATCTGACTCTAGCCTATCAGGTCTTATCAGGGCTGGGTGCATCCTCTTCCTCTGTGGCTTGGCAAGGCTCCCCTCAACACACACACACACACACACACACACACACACACACACAGAAAGGTGAGCAAAGAGCCAGCCGATTAGTCGATGTCAGAGACAGCCCCTGCTCCTCTTACTAGGGAACCTATGTGGAGACTGAGCTGCCTATAGGCTACATCTGAGCAGGAGTTCTAGGTCTTCTTCATGTATGGTCCTTGGTTGGAGTATCAGTCTCTGCAGGTGCCCTGGGCTCAGATATTTTGGCTCTCTTGGTATCCTTGTGGAGCTCCTGTACCCTTCAGGTCTTTCTATCTCCCCTTTCTTCCATAAGATTCCCTGCACTCTGCCCAAAGTTTGGCTGAGTTTCAGCATCTGCTTTGATACTCTGCTGGGTAGAGTCTTTCAGACGCCCTCTGTGGTAGACTGCTGTCCTGTTCCCTGTCTTCTCCAGCTTCTGATGTCTATACTTTTTGCCCTTCTCTGAATGAGGATTAAGCCTCTCCCTAGAGTCCTCCTTGTTGCTTAGCTTCTTTAGGGATGACAGTCTTTTATTAGTGAGGTGTATTGTAACTTCACCATGAATGTCTTGGTGTCTTGTCTTGATGAATGTCTTGTCTTTTTACTCCCTGCTCTCCCTGTGGTGTGTCTCTGTCTTTCTGTGTCCCGGGGCCTCAGGCATGTTAAGCAAGAGCTGCAGCACCAAGTCACATCTTCAGCCCCATGACATCCCACAAAAATAAGTTCAAAATTTAAGCATCCCTGAAAGGATTATCAAGCTGCATTTAGGGCTTTTTAGTTTGGAGGGCTTTGATGGTGGCATTGTTTTGTCTTCTTACAAATATATATATAACATGCTACTTACTTCTGTGCAAAACTTAATTCTCTGGAATTTTTTCATTCATTCATTCATTCATTCATTCATTCATTCATTCATTTCTTTAAAACAGGGTCTCTCTACATAGCCCTGGCAGTCCTGAAACTCATTGTGTAGAACCGGCTGTCCTTGAACTCACAGAGGTCTGCCTGTCTCTGCCTCTCAAGTGTACCACCACATCTGGTGGCACTGAAATTTTTAAGCAAAGCTTTCAGTGACTGGGTTTTGATATGATGCTCAAATGTTACATTTGAGCAAAATGTGGTCAGAGAGTTTCTTCTGCCGCTGCTTCTTCCTGAGTAACATCAAGGCTGTAAGTTTACACAGCCTAATTGCCTTGGGGTGGTAGGACAGGCACCTGTTTTTACCTCCCCTCGTTATTCTCCACTTTAATGTAGTCATAACCTGAAGTCTTAGCAAGCAGATGCAGAGAACCCCGAGTTCTCAACAAAGCAGATGCTGAGAAGCCCGACTTCTCAGAACAGCCTAAACTCATCCCTAACCAGAAGGCTCTGTAGTCAAAAGCCTCTCCCTTCTGCAGCCAGAGCTTTCGGCCTTGACCTGGAGTGTTCGTACCAGGCAGAGTGAGCAGCGGAGGCTAGAGAGACTTGCATTTCCTGCTGTGTTCAGACGTGTCCCGTCCTCTAACTGGCGGGGGAGAACCACGCTGGAGCACCACCTCCCTGGCCTGCCCTGTGTTTCTCTTCCAGGCCTGGTGCCCTCCTGTATTTCCCCACCTAGAACGTTGCCCAGAAATCTTTCTCCTTTCTCCTGTGAACACTGTCCCTTGAGTTTTTTCCCGGAAAGATATATTCTTAGTTGATATTCTTTTTTATATAATTATCTTGCACTCTGTCCCACGTTGCACTGAGTGGACAGAGATGGTCGATGTGAATGCTTTTCTTTCTAGCCATTTCATGTTACATGGGTTAGTGTTTTACCTGCATGTCTGTCTGCGCACCAGACCTGCAAATCCTCCCACAGAGGCAAGAAGTCAAATCCCCTGGAACTAGACTTGCCAACAGTTGTAAGCCACCATGTGGGTGCTGGGACTTGAACCCAGGTCCTCTGCAAGAACAGCAAGTGCTCTTAAGCACTGAGCTGCCTCTCCAGCCCCCCAGCCACATACTTGTGTTTCTTCTAGTAGCTGCACAGGGGGAGACTTTCTTATCCTCCCTAGGTCCTTAAGAAACGGTGGAGAACAAAAAGGCCATGAGCTTTGGGCACTGTGACAGGGCTTGGATTTGAACCCAGGAACTGTCTGGTTCCTAAGTCGTGGCTTTTCCCAGTGTTCCCCATGACTTCCAGACACAGTTGCAGTCTAGTCTATACGATAATCCCTTCCGTGATGCCTCACTATTTATCTCCAAAAGTCATTCAGAGTGTTGTGTTCTGACAAGATAGGGTCAATTTAAAATGAAACTGGACTATAAGCTGTCTTTTAAAGGGGTGGGAGAGAGGGGTTAGTGGTTAACAACACTCACTGCTCTTCCAAAGGTCCTGAGTTCAATTCCCAGCACCCACATGGCAGCTCAGTACTGTCTGGTGTCTTCTGACATAAAACTGCAGACATACATGCAGATGAAGTTCCCCTATACGTAAAATACATAAGTAAATCTAAAAAAAAAAAAAAAAAAAAAAAAAAAAGGTCTTTTAAAAGTAAAATTGTGGGGCTGGAGAGATGGCTCAGAGGTTAAGAGCACTGGCTGCTCTTCCAAATGTCCTGAGTTCAATTCCCAGCACCTACATGGTGGCTCCCAACCATCTCTAGTGAGATCTGGTGCCCTACAGTGGCATGTAGGCATACATGTAGGCAGAGTACTGTATAAATAAATCTTTTTAAAAATAAATAAAATAAAATTGTAGCGGTCTCCTCCTCCTTTGAGGGAAGGTTTCCTGTGTCCCCAGATTGGTGGCACCCATAAGCTCGGCGTGCTCTGCCAGCGCCCCTCCGCTGCACGCTGTGCAGCAAAGTTCCACTCGCATTCATCTTCAGATAAAAGCGCACAGAATCAGTGGCAGCCCACAGGACTGCTCTGTCGGGTTCTTTGCATAATAAAGGTGGTTACTGAGCAACAGTAGCTGCAAACACTCATCCCCACAAACCCAAGGACACCGGGAAGCCCTTCAGAGGCTCCCACCCTGGGGAGGCTCTGGCGAGGGGCGCTTTGCCATGACAGCTGAGTAGGAGAATACTGAGTGGCTGGCTACACAGAGGCATCTGCGGTGAATGGAAGCAGCTGTGGCTGCGCCGTCTCAGTGGACAACATGTATGAAGGTCCGTGTATGTGGCTTCTCAAATTAGCCTCTGACAGTACCATGTGCCTTACATCATACCTTTTCACCTGATAATCTCATTCCGGAGAATTCATCTCAAGGAAATAATTCATAAGAGGAAGACTAGATAGATAGATAGATAGATAGGTAGGTAGATAGATAGATAGATAGATAGATAGATAGATAGATAGATAAATAGATAAATATAGGTAAATATGTGTGTATATATACACATATATGTAAATATGTGTTATATATATACATATATATATATGTATATATATATATAACAACAGCGTGATTTAGAACTAGCAGGAAACTTACTTTCCAAAACATAAGGGGAAACTGTACATTCTGGTGCCTTCATTCTTTGAAGGTCTTAGACATCCATTAAAAACATCATCCCGTAAACAAGGAATACAAGGACATGTAAATGCATGGTGGGCACACGTATGAAAAATAAAGTCAGTGAGAGGACCAAAGAAGAAACAAACAAACAAAAAAAAAATTTTTTTTGCAAAACTGGTGAGGTTATAATCAAAGGTGGGGGTTGGTTTTGTTTTAAGAGGATTTTAAATTATTTTGTTTACGTGTCTGTGTAAATGAATGCCCGTGTGTGCAAGTGCCCTGGAAGAGAAGACAACATCAGATCCCTTTGCTGGAGGATGTGTAGCCACCCGCTATGGGTGCTGGGAAATGAGCTCAGGTTCTCTGCCTTTACGTCACCGTGTACACGCATGCCCTCTGAGGCCAGAAGAGGGAGAGGGCACCCGATCCTCTGGAACTGAAGTTCCGGGCAGTTGTAAGTCCGTGGTCGGAATTGAACCTGAGCCTCCGGTGGAGAAGCCAGCGCTCTTAGCTGCTCAGCCATCCCTCCCGCCAGCAGTGTCCACTCCTGGTCACTGAGTCAGCTCCCCAGCTCCTGATTTAGTTAACTTTCATGTGTCTGGATGTATTGCCCGCATGTTTCTTTGGGTGCCATGTGCATGCCTGATGCCAGCGGAGACCAAAAGAGGGCACTGGATCCCCTGGAACTGGAGTTGCAGCCAGCAGTGAGCCGCCATGTGGGCGCTGGGAACAGAACCCAGGTCCTCTGCAAGAGCAGCCAGTGCGCTGAACCATGGAGTGATCTCGCCAATGCCCCCCCAATTATTTTTTTAATAGAAGGGATTTTCCTCTCTGTTTTCCAGTGTAATTTATAGAGTCCTATTGCATAACTCTTTGGAGCTCAGAAGATTACCCCACAAAGGATATATTGGGCCAACCTAGAATATAGAGAAAATGACTAATTCACTAGAACAAAGTATAATGACACATGTATATGAAAGTGCCATAATGAAATCCATTTGTTGGTATCCTAAGTTTAAAAAGTAATTAAAAGTTCTCTAGGATTGAAAAAAATTCCTAATTCATAAATACTAATGTTACTATTTTAACTTTCAGTGAAGGGAATTTGGCTACAAAGCAGGTCGTATTTCTCCAAAGGCCAGTTACGTGGAGTTCAGCTGCTCAGACCCCAGAAGTGAGTAAAATTCACCAATTTTGACATTATAAGACATGACAGTAAAGCATTAAATCCGTAAGCTCTCTCTGTTGTTCTAAACATGAGTACCGATAGGACGCACAGGCTCAGCATGGAACAGTCTCCTAAAGAAGAATGTAACAGAGAAACTGACTGGCTCCCCCAGAACCCATTGTAGAAGGGAGAAAATGGGCTCCCCAAAATTGTCCTCCGACCCACACACATGCCGTGTGCACACGTATGTGCCCACACTCACACACATGTGCATTCACATACATTAGCTAATAAAATCAAAACTGTAATTGTTTTTAAAAAGAAGGGATATCTGCCAGCCTTCCCCCGACAGTTCCAAAGACTACTGAAATATGCCATTCTAACATGCAGCGCAGTGGCCTGAGGACCCTTTTGAGCTCCAGAAAATGAAGAAAGACACAGGAAGTGCTCTCTGCCCCTTTTTCCTGCCATGTAATGGCATATGCCTCACCTTACAGAGGTAGCAGGCTCCCAGTGTGCGCACATCCACTGCCCCTGCTGGGAAGAAGTACCTGATATTGCTTCTCCCCGACTCGAATCTAGAACTCATCCTCCATTGTTTTCCTGTTGGTGCTCCTTCCCATAAACTGCCTCCCCGGAAGCGCACGCTGCCTTTCCTTGGCCGGGTACTCGCCCACGGCCTGTCAGCCTCTGTAAAAGCCGTGCTGAGCTCAGTCTTCCACACCAAGCCATCTCCTTGAGTTCTTGCCTCTCTTCTACACAGTCCCTGTGCGCATACAACACAGATCCGTGCTGCTAACCTGTCCTGTCACTGGAGCTGCCAGGCCTCGGCTACCAATCCTAGTAGGGTAGAGGAAAGGGGTGACGCCTAACTAGCGAGAGGACCCTCACACACCAACAGTGCACGCAGTTTAGCCACGCTGTGTTTTTTTCAGTTAACTCTGGAGCAGGGTTGCCTGGCTGCGGAAGTCGCTTGAGAGGTGGGGAAGTGGACGGGAAGATGGGGCGGCAGGAGGGTCACCAGAAAGACTGGCTTAGCGCCCACAGGTGAGCCCCTTCACCTCAGGGAGGATGGCACTGCCTCAAGAGTTTACTGTCAAGAAACAGCAAGGCTAGCCGTGAAAGAATGTCCAGAAGGATTTGTCCTAGTTAGGGTCACTACTGCTGTGATGGAACTACCACGACCAAAAGCAAGCTACAGAGGAAAGGGTTTATTCTGCTCACACTTCCATCTCACTGTTGGTCATGGAAAGGAAGCCAGGACAGGAACTCAGGCAGAACAGGAACCTGGAGGTCACGGACAGGTGCTTGCTGCTTACTGGCTTGTTCAACCCGCTTCTTCCGGGACCCAGGACCACCATCCTGGGGGTGTCCCCACCCACAACGGGCTGTCAGCCCCCATAAATCACTAATTAAGAAAATGCTCTACAGGTTTGTCTGGAGCCAGATCTCATGGAGGCATTTTCTCAGGTGAGGTTCCTTCCCCTCAAATGACTCTAGCTTATGTCAAGTTGACCCGGAACTAGCCAGCACCAGTTTTTAACTCTCTCTTCTTCCACACAGTTACTTCATCATTATGTAACAAGCTTTCTTTCCTTTCCTATTTTTAACATTCTCCGTTTAGGAAGGGCCACACGCATTTACAACCTCCATGGGATTTGGATCAATGGAGGGCCATGCAGTTGTGTCTGAGTCCAAGTCAGCTCCTTACAGTCTTTCCTACTTAGAGTTGATAGCAGCTTCTTGATTCTCTGAAAATACTTAGACTCCTTCTTCAACTTGAAGTTCTGGAGCTGAGGATAGATCTCAGTGGCGGAGCATTCACCTCATGTTCATGAGGATCCCGATTCAGCCCCAAACATTAAAAAGATGAAAGCCTTCCTTGCAATATGGTGGATGTGAAGATGCTTCTACGTGATGCAGTGAAGGAAAAGCCAGGCCGAGACTCCACTCCAAAGAGAGATGGAGAGGAAGACTGTCTGGAGTTCACAAAGGGAGTGAGGACAATTGGAAAGTATGGAAGGGAGTGTGGGAGTGGGGAGGAGGATAGGACAGAGAAGAGGAAAGAGCCAGGGTGAGAGTTACAAAATCCTCCCCAGGAAGAGTCCCTGAGTGTGGCTGCCATTCGGTGAGTCATACTACCTCACCACCAGGACTTGAGTCTCTAGAGTTTACAGTGTGTGCCCCGGGCCTAGGTGCTGCTAGAACCAAGAGCTACATCAAGTGAGTGGGCTCACGGGCTGGACAGAGCTGGTCAGTGTGGCGCTTGCTGTTGAAGCTACAGAGACAGTGGGACGTGGGAGCCCAGGGCTGCGACTCCGCAGAGGCAGCATCGGGAATGCCTCAGTGTCCCACACCTAGGGATCCTCACCCTCCTGCCCCTCCCCCACAGGAGGGCTGGGAGTGGCTGCCGCCACTGCTGTAGACACATCTGGCTGTGCCCTCAGCCCCATTTTCTCTAGGACATCAAAAGTTTTGTACATTAGTAAAACTGGAAAACGTTCAAAATAGCCATTGTGGAGAAATGTCTGTGAAGTTCAAAAAGATCCTAGACATAATAGCAAAACCTTGACCCATTAAAAGATGACAAATCAGTCAGGCATTGGTGGCACATGCCTTTAATCGCAGCACTCAGGAGGCAGAGGCAGGCAGATCTCTGTGAGTTCCAGGCCAGCCTGGTCTACAGAGTGAGTTCCAGGACAGCCAGGGCTACAAAGAGAGACCTTGTCTCGAAGAACAAAACCAAACCAAAAGCTGACCAATTAGATTTCATGAAAATAAAAACCTGTGCCATGTGACTCTACCACTAAAAGAAGGAAAGATAAGCCGCAGACCACAAAACCCTTACAGATCCCATCTGTAACTGGGCTGTGGCAAGAGTTCACCAAGAACCTCAAACACCAACAGTAAGAAAACTACAGTTGCCAGTGAGGGTATGCACACAGGAAATCAGTACATGAAAAGATGCTTAGTTATTGGTTATGGGAGTGCAAATGCAGCCCATGGTGAGATGCCGTCATGCACGTATTCCAAGGGCTAAACTCCTGACTCTACATAACCACGAGCTGGTGGTGCTCACGGGCAAGCAGAGCAGTCTCTGTGGGGAGGGATGTGAGCAATCTAGCCACTCTAGAAGATGGCCTAGCCACTTCTTACACACACACACACACACACACACACACACACACACACACACACACGACTCATCAATCCCCTCCTGGGTGATTATGTTACAGAAACACACACGTGTGCTGCTCTTCCAGAGGACCGAGTTCCGTTCCTAGCACTGCTGTGGGCAGCTCACAACCACCTGTAAACTCTAACGACATGGACTCTCACCCCTTCTTCTGCACTCTGCAAACACCTGTGCACATACGCACAGAGACATAATTTTTAAAATAGTAGTTTAAAAAAACTTTAAAAATGTTCAGTTTTTACAGGCTCAGAATAGGACTCCCATCCACAGTAGGCTGGGGAGCCGACAAGAAGCTGGGAAGGACACAGACAGTGCCTGTTGCCCGGCCAGGTCACCATTTCCCTTATAAAATACGAACAGTGTTAGCACACACCACAGAGCTCTTGGGACTTGCTTTGGAAACATATCTAGATGTGTCTGGTGCCATGACTAGCAATAGGAGAGGTTGTAATTATTTTTAAAGGAATGGTTTTCTTCCAACACCAAATCATTAAATTCTGCTAATGGTATAAAGAGACTGGAGAAAAATCCAGGAATGCCAAGTGGTCCTGTATTTTCTCCAGCTAAAAGGACCATCAGCTGTGAATACAGAAATGGAGTTTATCAGTCAGTTTGAAGTTCCAGTGCCTACACACAGCTCTGAAGCAGCAAGTATTTAATTCGGTGGAGGGCACTGGGCACTTATTCCCTTTTAAATTTTCTACATTTTGGAACTTTTCGTAATCAGAAAGTCAGGGAAAATTAAGTGAGAAGCATTAGTCATCAATAGCATTTTTCCATGTTGATTGTCAGTTTGTAAATAACTAACTACTAAGCTGTTCCAACAACTGGTATTTAAGATGGCAGCCGAGGTGGTCCTGCTGCAAATCTAACATGTTGAGTTCAGTCTCTGCAAGCCGTGACATAAAGGGAGAGAGGCAGCCCTATGTTGCTGGCCCTGTCCTCCACATGGACACACAGCAAGCACAGCAAGTAAACACACCAGTCCCGTAAAAATCGAATTGCACATCGGAAATGACTCCAGTGCTTCATAAAGAGGGGCAGGCACTCGGGGTGGGCTGGAGCTTCGTGACCTGGCTCAGCCTTGCCACCCTCAGAAGTGGGCTCTTCCTGCAGAGCCGGGGCTCCTATGCCAGTTGATAACACACTCAGCCACCGCGATACAGGAAATGGGAGTCCCAGGTATGGGCCCTGGGCAGTGACTTCTGAGGGCAAGCATTTCTTCTCATATTGCTCTCCCCTGAATGCCTCCAGCTCTCCACAGCCACTTCCAAAGAAGGCTAGAAGTGTGACCTCTATGTTGATATCATAGTGAAACATTATATACCCAGACACTGCGGGATGTCGGGGGGAGGAAGCTCTGTCATTAAGAGAAAAATGGAGAGACTGGCCCCGGAAGGCACGCAGTGTTGCTTTTCGCAGTGTAGATGTGTTTTTATTTAAATTAATTTTAAGTGGTACAGAATTTCTTAAGATTTTTTTAAATTTATTTTTTATGTGTGAATGTTTTGCTTGCATATATGTATGTGCATGCCTGGTGCCGAGGAAGGGAGGCCAGAAGAGGGCATCTTTGAAACTAGAGTTACAGACTGTTGTGAGCCACCATATGGGTGCTAGGAACAAAGCCTGCTCCTCTGCAGGAGCATCAAGTGCTCTTAACTATCACGGGAGTCATCTCTCTAGACCCTGAAATTACATAATAATTTTAAAGTGTGTGTGTGTGTGTACAATGTGATGTTTCAATGCATATCTATGTCATATAATTTTTAAATTGTTAGCATATCAGCCTTTTCAGGTATTTTTCACTTGTTCATGGTGAAAACTTTGAAATCAAGTGTACACAGTCACCCAGCGAGGCCACAGCAGACCAAAATGGGTAACTTGTAACTTGCGTCCACTGGTTGACCTTTCCTCCCCCACCCCCACTCTCTCAAGCGTCAGGTAGACACCATTCTACTTGTAATTGCATGAGATTAACTTTCCCGTATTCTGCGTGTCAGTAAGAATGTAGTTCTTGTCTTTCCGAGCCTTGTCTTTTCTCATTTCCCGTCAGCACCAGTGGCAGCAGGGACAGTGTCGTTTTCTCTATCCGCTCATCAGCCAATGGACGTTGGCTCAGGTTGTTTCCACTCTCAGATCTTAGGAAAAGCAGGGCAATAAACATGGAGTGCAGGTTAGTTCAGATGGCCATGCTCCCTGCCATGATGGTAATGGGCCAAACCCCTGAACTGTAAGCCAGCCCCAGCTGAACGCTTTCCTTTCTAAGGGTTGCGCTGGTCATGCTGTCTTCACGCAATGAAACCCTCACTAAGACACAGACCCCGCTCGAAAGCGGGCAGCACCTTCCTTCCCGGGGCTGGAAACAGCGCAGAGTGAGCTGAGCGCAAGCCTTCACTTCTGTTCCCTGACTGTGCATGCAGTGAGACCAGCTGTCATGACCGTCTTCTGCCATCGCTCCCCATCGTGACGAACTGTACCCTCAGCCTGTGAGACGAAACAAACCCACCTCACGCTGCTTTTCTCAGGGTTTTGCCACAGCATCAAGAAAAGACACTAAGAGAATGGGTCAACCCCTTTTCTTTTACACAAGAGTGCACATTAGAGGGTTATTAGGGCGGTGTTGGCTCTGCATCCAAATCAGCCTAATTCCCCCTCGCTTTGTAGGGAAACTCTCAGGAGATAGCAGGAAAGGCCACGAGTCCGCCCGGAGAACAGTACAAAAGCACTGACATAGAGGGGAACTGCAATGGAGCGCTAAGGGGAAGATCAGCTACATAAGCTACAAAAGCTTGTGCTGGGTTGGAGAACCACGAATAGGCAGAGAGGGGGGACAGGATGGGGCGAGGAGAGAAGCGACGCAGTAAGTATGTCAGGGTTCCCACACGAGCCTTGTTGGAGCTAAGATTATAGGTGAGCTTTCCTTCCATTCTGTGTTCTGCCAGGTTCCCCACAGTGTGTGTCTGTATATAGTGTGTGTGCGTGTGTTTCTGTAACCGGAAGTTTTGTTTAGTTTTTACAAATGTGATGAATGTACTGTGAAAAGAACAAGGCAGATGACTGCAATGCCAGTGTGGGGCCAATCCCTCTTTGGTCTTATCCCTTCATGGGGAACCCCTGAAGAATGAGGGACTGACATGGCTGGTCTCCAAGGGTAGGCTTGGCTTCAGACTCCAACATTTCCAGTTATTAGAACATCACAAGTTGTCTGATTGTAAAAAAAAAGGTTTCACGTGGCGTGAGGTTGCATGGGAGAGGCAGTATCATTACGAAAGACACATCAATCAAACCGTAAAGAGTTTGGATGAGCAAAGGAGTGTGCTCTGAAATCTTTTAGGATACAGCGTATTTTGTCAGATACTATTTCAAATTTACAACAGATGGCTGTTTACTTATTAACAGTTATCTAAGATAAGTTACTATGAACAACAGCTTATTCTAAAGAGCTTTCTGTTTTTATTAAGGAGGTTCTCATTGCAGTGAGAGCGGGCCTCTGTTATCTGACATACAGTAATGTATTGCAAACATCACCTTTGTCCCTGTTGCAGCGAGGGCCGAGGGCCGCAGGGCCTCCCTGTGGGGGTGGAAGGTTGAGCACAAGCCCTGGGGATCTTTGTGTCTGTGGGAAAGGCCCTGCTAGCCAGGCTTCAGGAAGCCCAGTCCAGGCCTGTCACTGATCAGGGCACCACTCTCAAAACTGGCCCCTCCCCAGAGGACCTCGCAGCCCTCACTGCGAGCACGCAGCTCGGCAGATTTTGAATGGGGGCAAAAAAGGACAAGGGTCAAGGGTCTGATGTTTGCATTTGGTGAGAGCAAGGGTGTGCCAGCGAGATGGGAGTAAGAAACTGTAAAGACCAGCCTATAAGGCCAGTTTTTTTCTAAGAGTTTCGTAACTTGAGCCTTTCACACAGTAAAGTGTACTCTTAGTGCTTGACTGACACTGAAATGAATGTAGGGTGAGTAAACTCTTTGAGAATGGAAAGAATACTTAATGACTAGTTTGATTTCTGAGTCCTTATTCAGCTTGTAGAGCTGAGATCTGTGATAGATCCAGTGTATGACACATTAGCAGTGACAGTGAAGCAAAAAAGCAATCATAGCTTCCTGGACAGCCTCAGGCTGGGCTTGAGGCCTCCTCCAGCTCCTTCTGTCGCTAAGAGATCTTTTGACCTAAGTTTACATGGCAGAGACATCATCATGGCAGAGACGTCTACTGTCTTAGTCACTGTTCTGCTGTGAGGAGACACCATGACCAAGGCAGCTCTTGTAAGAGAAAGCATTTAATTGGGGACTGACAATTTCAGACGGTTAGTCCATTAGCATCTTGGAGAGCATGCTACATGCATGGTGCTGGAGCTGAGAGCTACATCCACAGGCAGAGGGAGACAGAGACAGAGAGGGAGAGAGTGGGAGCAAAGAGACCAGGCCTGGCATGGGCTTTGAAACCTCGAATGAGAATGGGCTGGGTCAAACTGCAGAGCACTAACCCTGTTTGCAGCAGGACCAGAAAAGGCGTCTGCTTAGACCCCAAAGACATTCCAGGTAGTCATTCAAAAGCCGTGGTTCTACCTTCCTAAGGCTGAGACCCTTTAGTACAGTTCCTCATGTTGTGGTGACCCCTGACCATAAATTTACTTTCATAGCTATTTCATAACCGTAACTTGGCTGCTGTTTTAAGTTGCAGTGAAATACCTGTTTTCTGATGGTCTTGAGCAACCCCTGTGACAGGCTAGCCCAACCCCCTGAGAGATTCCAACCCACAGGTTGAGAACCCTTGTTCTAAAGGGACCTTTAAAATGCATTTTTCCCAGGATGCACCTGTGCCTCTTATGACAAATGACAAAGAGACAAGGAACCCACTAAAGCATAATTTTCTGCTGTTTAGACACCATTACCCCACCACCACCAGACAGCACTCACTTGTTTCTTGCTTGCTTTGTTTCCCCAAGTACAATTTAACTCATGTCTCTCCTGAGAAATGTGCACACAACCCACCTGCCACTGAGAAGGACAAGCCAAGAGCAGGTTTGCAAGGCAGGCAGAGAGAAGCAAGGCTCTGAGCTGGACCTTAGAGATAAGTAGGATCTCCTCCAAGGTGCTGAGGACAGATGGAGCCATGGCCTCCAGCAACATCGGCGGAGGGGCTAGGCCCTCTGCCACGCCCGGGGCCCCTACAGCGAGAAGTGGGAAGGAAAGGGGAGTTTCAGGCCGGGAGATGGGGGGACACAGAGTGCAAGGCCCGTTTTCCAAGCCCTGCTTGACAATCTCCTTGTTTCAGAGGAAAGCCAGCCGGCTGCTGAAGGGCGAGGACAGGAACAAGGTAGGCAGCCGGAGCATCAGCCTGGACACAAGGGTGGCCCAACCCGAAGGAGGCCAAGCCCCTCTTGAGGAGGGCCCCCTCACTCCCTCCAGAGAGTGTTGGACCAAAGAGGAGCGGCCTGCACCAAGTGACGGCTTTTCGGGGTTCAGCAGCAGCGACAGCGTCCTCCGGGAACTGGATGATGGACAGTTTGACCAGGAAGAAGGTGTGACGCAGGTCACCTGCATGTGAGCTGCAGGCCTTGGCGTTAGAAAGGCTTGTAAATAGACACTAAAGTGACTGCTGCCTGATTTGATTTCACTACTACTATCTACATTTATGTAACGTTTCTAATTTCCAGGCTCAGCCTCCCCCTAATTTATGTAAATTTTGACTCAACCCCTCAGACAAGGAAGAATGACAACTGTTTATCAATGCAAAAGCATGCTTGCATTTCTCTCAGCCAAACTTAATCTGCGTAAACAGATGTCCCTTCTGGTCATTAAGCGACAACCTGGTTCACTTCCCCAGTAATGGACAAAATAACTCCTGTTGAAAAGACTGAGTACCACAACCATCATCTCAACCGTTAGAGCCTTCTCAGGAAGCTACAGACTCACTTCAACTGAAAAATATTTTCTCCCTCCCTGTCTTTAGCCCTCCTCCCATACACACAGACAAGTGAAAATATCCATTCCCCGCCTGTAACAACCAACCTAATTTTTGCCTCTAACTGTTGTATGTACATACAAAGCAAGCCACGTTTGACAAAAGCCTTCAAAAAAAAAAATTCTTTCTTTCGTCTTTTCTTTCAAAGGGCCATGGTACGGCCAGCCCCTCGGTGAATCGTTAACTTTGGCTTTGGGCTCCACAAGCACTTGCACCACAAATAGGAAAATTAATTTTTAAAAAAGTCAGTTGAAGGAGCCCACAATCTCAGTGTGTCAAAGCCATGTCATCTACAGCAAGCATGGTGGCACGCCTTTAATCCCAGCACCTGGCAGGCAGAGGCAGGTGAATCTCTGCGAGTTCTAGGACAGCCAGGGCTACACAGTGAAACTCCGTCTCAAAAATACAACCAACACGATTTGACTTTCTTTCTTCAAACTTGCAAATAGCTTTGAGGAGAACAAATAGCGTCCTCAGGTGGAAGTGTGCCTTCTACAGCCGTTAGGTTCACATCATGCTTCGTCTTGACCTGTTACAACTGGAAAAACGTTGCACCCCAGAACTCTGTCCTGCAGGAGTGGAGCGGGGCTCACGGCCCACGCAGTGATTCCAACCCTGTCCTAGCCTGTGGCCACCCTCCCCCCGGAGGCCTCTATCTAGCCCAGGCTTTATCAGGTGAAGATGAATCTACAGAATGGGGGACTTTTATGGACATGTGAAAGGCTGAGCTCCAAGATAACTGCAGTTGACTGGGGCGCTAAGCAATTCACAGACTGTATTTTTATCAGCTTGATGTTGATATTGTGACTCATTGGAATAATAAACTGTCATTTGTTATTTGGCTTCTGTCTCGGTTGAACACAAATACTCCTACGTTTTGTTGTTCTGTGTTTGGTTTTGTTATTTCTTTGTTTTGGCGGTGATGGTAGTGGTGGTGGTTTTGGTTGGTTGGTTGGTTGGTTGGTTGGTTGGTTGGTTGGTTGGTTGGTTGGTTGGGCTTTTTGAGACAGGGTTTCTCTGTGCTTCCCTGGCTGTCCTATAACTCGCTCTGTAGACCAGGCTGGCCTCAAACTCAGAGATCTGCCTGCTTCTGCCTTCTGAGTGCTGGAACTAAAGGCGTGCGCCACCATTGCCCGTCCCTCGTCCGGTTTTCTGAGACAAGGTCTTGCTACATGTAACTCTGGAACTCCTAACAATCCTCCTGCCTCAACTTCCTGAGTGCTGTGATTACACGCGTTACGCTGCAATAGCTGGCTTTCATACGCTGTATACATGGGACAGATATGTATTATGTGTTATCAGATACTCAGTGTACCCACACTAAGCCAGGCTCCGTGAGCTTCTGGTGAGGTCACGACGACCCCACGTCTATGCCGAAGCCTCGAAGTCCACAGTGTACACTGCTCAGACTTCCCTGTGGACACGTCTGTCACTTCTGGGGGGGCAGATGCCTTGATGGACAGGGCTTATATATTCAGGTTGGTAGGCAGGGCATCGTGGTCCACACCTGCAACCCCAGCACTCAGTGAGCCGACACCACGCAAAGTCTGAGGCTAGCCTGTGAGGCTACCCTGCGCTACAATAAACAGTTGGCGAACTTCTGATGAAAACGGAGGATGACTTCAAAACTCTGCGGCATGTCCTGAAGCCCTGAAACACGGGAACGTGCTCAGAAAGACGCAGGTCCCCTGACAGGGATGACAAGGGCGGAAAGGGGCCTTTGTACCTCAGTTAGTGCACAGAGTGTACAGGGGGCAGTGTAGACCAGAGGGAGGGTGACGGGAGTGAGGACAAAATAGTAGATAAGTAAAAAGAACGGGGGGGGGGGCGGGGGCTGGAGAAGCGGCTCAGCAGGTAATAGCACGCATGCTCTTGCAGAGGACCAGAGTTCTATTCCCAGGAGCCACATCAGGCGGCTCCCAACCACCTGTAACCCCAGGGAAGCAGGCACCTCTGACGCGGCACACACACAGGCCGCAACGCGGACACATGATGAAAAGTTTTCGTAATTTTAAGTACAGAGAGGGGCTAAGGGTGTGACCCGGCCGCGCAGCGCTTGCCTGGTGGGCATAAAGACCTGGGTTCAGCCCCAGCACCCTGGAGAGGTAGGCGTTCCTCAGCACAGGGGAAGCAGAGGGCAGAGTCCTGGGTTGAAGGCCATCCTTGGCTCCATAGCAAGTTAGAGAGAGGCCAGCCTAAGCTACATGGGACCCTGTCTCAAAAAGAGAAAAGTTAAAAAAAAAAAAAAAAGGCCCAAGTGTGGTGGCCCGTGCCTGTAACCCCAGCAGGATGGTCAGGGGCCCCGGGTTATCTTTTACTAAATTCAACGTTGGTCAGCCTGGCTCCCCGAGACCCTTTCTTTAAAAATACATGAGAGAATAAATAAAAAGGAAAAAAAAAAAGGAGCAGAGCTAGAAATTTACATGTAACTGAGAGAAAACTTAGGAATGTGCCAATTACAACTTCTTAAAAATAGATACAAGCAGCCAGACATGGTGGCTCATAGCTTTCGTCCCAGTACTGGAGAGGCCAAGGCAGGCAGATCTTTGAGTGGCTAGCCTGCTCTACATACCGAGACCTTGCCTGAAAAAGACAACTGTACAGACACACTTTTTTGTTTTCAAATTAAACTCCGGGTCTTGCTGCATAGCCCAGGTTCCAAAGCTCATGCCTCGGCCTCCAGGGTGCGCCACCATACCAAGCTGGCACACTTTCTTTTATGCTTTGCTCTTAGGGCCAGCGAGCTGGCTCAGCAGGTAAAGGAGCTTCCTGCCAGGCCTGATGGCCAGGCCCAGTCCGCAGGACCCAGGTAGAAGCAGGGAACTCACTCCAGGAAGCTGTTCCCTGACTTCATACGTGCACCGTGACCTGTGTGCGCACGCACCGACATGAAATAGATAAAAAGTGTGCAAACTCTTGCTTTTAATCTCAGGGTTACTTCTTCCCATTGCAGTGGGGGGAGCCCAGCACACACCTGTGCACACACCTGTGGTCTCAGCCACCCAAAAGTCTGACATGGGATGACCGCTTCAGCCCAGGCATTCCAAACCAGACAGAGCTGCCAGGGCCCCGACCGATGCTAACCAGCCGAGAATAAATGACAGTGAGGTGTCTGCAGAAGACCATGCTGCCACCACTCATGTGGGCACTCTTGATTATTTTCCCCCAGGCTGGCCCCCCAGGGGCCTTCTGCATGCTAGGCTAGGCAAGAACTGTACCACTAAGCTATATCCCCAGGCCCCTAGCAACCTCTATACCTCACACCTTTTTATTTTTTAGGCAGGGTGTAGTATAGCCCAGGCTGGCCTTGAACCATGTAACTGAGGCTGACACTGAGCCCCTGATCTATCTTCCTCTCCTTCCCATGTGCCAACCCTCTTTTCAGTTTTTATTTTGAGACAGGTTCTCACTAAGTTACCCAGGCTAGCTTTGAACTTGCTACACAGACCAGGTTGGCCTCCAGCTTCTCAACTTCTTGCCTTAGTCTTCTGAGCACCGAGATTTTAATCTTTTACCACCAGGCCCAGGCTTAATGATCTGGAGAGGGCTATGTCTGCAGCATGTTCTTTATTCTCCAAGGTTCTGGCTTGTGTCGGGCTAAACCAGAATCCCTGTGGAGGAGGCATGCACACACTCTCCTGGACTCAGCTGTTTAACACTCACCAACTGATTCATGGCCAGGGGCTTTGCCAAAGATTCCTGCCCTGCAGAATCAATAGGTTGACTATCAGGAGTTAAAAATATAGTAAATTAATAATTATACAGAGCCAGATGTCCTGGTGCACACCTATAACCTCAGAACTAGGAAAGCAGATGGTTGTGTTGCAGGTACAAGGCCAGCTAGGCCAGCCGGGGACACATAGTGAGAGCCTGTCTTTAAAAGAATTAGTGATACAAGCCTGGCATGGTGGAGCACAGCTTTGATCTGAGCGCTTAGGAGGCAGAGGCAGGAGGATCCCTGAGTTCAAGGCCAGCCTGGTCTACAAAGCAAGTTCAGGATAGCCAGAGTTACACAGATAAACTCTGTCTTGAAAAAAAAAAAGTAATACAAATAATTACGCCACTTCAGGTGATGAAGACCTTGCTGATGCTGAGGGGAGTGCCTGGGCGCACAGTGCTGGACAAGACACAGCCTCTGTGCAGCCTGAGTGCGGTGAAGACCTAACTAAGGACTTCCCTGCTCAGCACAGTCATGCTGGCTCGCACAACAGACGGGAGGGCAAAAGGAAAGCAAGACCAGCCTTACTCAGCAAAGCCTTATATGACCCAGAGTTACCCAGAAATGAAGGCTCCAACATGCAGGGAAAGCTGGAGTGCAGCTGAGCTGACGAAGGGCGTGGGCGACTTCTTCTGAAGTAGGATCTAACGGTGACAAACCAGCGGGCCTTGGCAGGACCCACCTGTTTGGCTCCTTCCTTCCTGGACAGTATAGGGCAGGCCACATTCAGGAACGCAGGTCAGAGCGACCCTTCTAGGTCTCGTGGCTGCCTTAGGGGACAGGGTTTGTTGGTTGCAGGGAAGGAAAGGAAAGGAAAAAGGAAAGGGAAGGAAAGAAAAGAAAAGAAAAAAGGAAAAAGGAAAAAGGAAAGGAAAGGGAAGGAAAGGAAAGGAAAAAGGAAAGGGAAGGGAAGGGAAGGGAAGGGAAGGGAAGGGAAGGGAAGGGAAAGAGAATGAAGATCAAGAAGGCAGAGAAGCCTTGTGTCTGAGGTCCTCTACAAGGCCCTCCTTGTCTCCTTAAGCGCAGGCTATCATTTGACAAGCCCACGGTGTTAGGAAACTACAACAGACCATTTTCTGGAAGGACAGCCAGTGTACTTAGCCCTGAACCATCTCTCCAGCTGTCAGACAGACCATTTTAGGTGCAAGCACCTATGAAATTTTTAGGGCCCCCAAATGGTTTTAGACATGAAAAAATATACATGTTGGCTTTAAAATATGGCAACTATAAAACTGAACATTTTAATTAGATAGCTTTAAAGCATGCAGATTTAAAACCAGACATAGTGGCACTCAGGCAGGAGGATACTGTGAGGATTACTGTGACCAGCATGTGCTACCTAGTAGATTCCAGACCAACCTGGACTATAGAGACTCTACCTAAATACATAAATAAAAACAAGTAAGCAAGCAAATCGAGCTGAGCATGGTGGCTCAGACCTGTTATCCAAGTAACTCGGCAGTAGAAGTAGAAGGATCCGGAAGCAGGCAGATCTCTGAGAGTTTGATGCCAGCCTGGTCTATGTAGTAAGTTCTAGGTGGCCTGGGCTTCCCTTTTTCACAGGCTGTGCCTCTCCAAAGATCTCAGAATACAACAGCAGCCCACATGTCGCTTGAGTTTTTTCCCCGGAAAGACATATTCTTAGTTGATATTCTTTTTTATATAATTATCGTGCACTCTGTCCCACGGTGTACGGAGTGGACAGAGATGGTCGATGTGAATGCTTTTCTTTCTAGCCATTTCATGTTACATGCGTTAGTGTTTTACCTGCATGTCTGTCTGCGCACCAGACCTGCAAATCCTCCCACAGAGGCAAGAAGTCAAATCCCCTGGAGCTAGACTTGCCAACAGTTATAAGCCACCATGTGGGTGCTGGGACTTGAACCCGGGTCCTCTGCAAGAACAGCAAGTTCTTAAGCACTGAGCCGCCTCTCCAGCCCCAGAATCACAAACTTCTGTTTGTTCTACTAGCCGCACAGAGGAAGACTTTCTTATCCTCCCTAGGTCCTTAAGAAACGATGGGGAACATGAAGGCCATGAGCTTTGGGAGCTGTGACAGGGCTTGGATTTGAATCCGTATGTTCTATTCCAATTGCTGCCATCCTGCTATGGTCCAGACTCCTTGCCATGGTGCCTCT